GAAGCCTCTCGCCGCCCCTGAGCCTCTACCCCAGCTCTGTATGCACAAATAAATCTTTAAAAAAAAAAAAAAAAAACCTGCAGAGGCTTCCCAGACCCTTTCAGGGTAAAGCTCACACTGCTCAACCTGACGCTGTGTCTTCTTGCGACCTGATCCTTTCTTCACCCTCGTCCTCTCATCCTTCACCCTCCCCAGCATTCCCCGCTGACATGCCCGGGCTGGGCTCCCCGGCTGCCTGTTGTTTCCTCAGCTGGGCACACATTTCTCCGTCACCCACCTCCTCCTCCCCGTTCCTCAAACCCGAGTCCAAGCTTCCCCTCCTGGGAAGCCTTCCAGCCGTGTCCCTCCCCAGGGACTTGAGACGTCCTCCTGGAGTGCCCACAGACCCCACTCAGGTCTATATCCCAGCAGAACCTGGCACATGAAGGTCCAGGCACCTCGAAGGGCACAGCTGGTATGGCGTGGGGTTCCAGAGGGAGCCGCACAGGGGCAGGAGTCCCAGGCTGGAGCCTCCGTCTCTGGGCTCAGAACCTCCAGGCTTTTGTCAGCACTCTGCTGCTTCCCTACGCTCACAGAAGAGACATGTGTGTGCAAAGCTCGCAGAGGGCTTCCTGCGGGAGGACACACTTGTCATATCCAGGCTGGTGGAAAGTGTGGCCAAAGGGAGAAAGACACAAGCCAGGGTGTGGGTGGGCCTGAATGGGGGAGGAGACCGGCCCGGGCTGGGGTGCGGCCTCCAGCTACCCTGGAAGGCCCTGGGAGAGTCTGTAAGATGTGGACTCCTGGGTGCAGCGGGCAGCGGGGCCCCACTGTGCCCATCTGCTTGGGAGGATGCTTAGCTGCCCCGAGAAAGGCGGGCGGCCCGGGCCCTGCGGCGGGGCGGCCTCAGTGGCTGCCTCGTCCCCAGGCTGTATGTGCTGAAGCTGTCAGATGACATCGGCAACTTCGGGGAGGTGCGGCTCCCCCTCCTCGGCTGCCTCGGCGTCTCCTGGGTGGTGGTCTTTCTCTGCCTCATCCGAGGGGTCAAGTCTTCAGGGAAAGTAAGTATCCCTCCTCGGCAAGGTCTGTGCCTGCCCAGAGATCCAGCTCCCCCACCCGGTGTGTGCGTTGGTGGGGGGTGGGGGGACGCAGGGCCACAGGACGGGGGAAGAGCAACCAGGGCCAGTGGCGGTGGGGGGCCGAGGTGGGGCCAGAGGAGGGTCAGTGGAGCCCTCTCGCACCCAGGTGGTGTACTTCACGGCCACGTTCCCCTACGTGGTGCTCACCATCCTGTTCATCCGCGGCGTGAGCCTGGAAGGGGCCTTCACGGGCATCATGTACTACCTGACCCCACAGTGGGACAAGATCCTGGAGGCCAAGGTGGGATGCCAGGACCTCCCAGAAGAGATGGTGGGGGGTGGGGGGGTGTCCCCTCCGACCACAGCTCCTCACCCCACCCCTCCCACAGGTGTGGGGGGACGCAGCCTCCCAGATCTTCTACTCCCTGGGCTGCGCGTGGGGAGGCCTCATCACCATGGCTTCCTACAACAAGTTCCACAACAACTGCTATCGGTGAGACTCCTGCAGGGCCCGGGGCCCCCGGTTCCCAGCCCTCCCTGTGGCCGGGCCCACCGGGGCATCCCCCGCACATACAGCCTCGAGGTCCTGGGAGCGCTGGGCCTGGATCAAGGAATTGGAGAAGGGAGACAGAAGCAGGATGGGGCAGTGGTGAGGCGCACGGATAAAGGCTGGGGCAGCCAGAAGGGCCTTTGCTCCTGGAACTGTCCCTGTCTCCAAGTCTGATGTCGGCGAGGGGCCTGGGGCAGGGGCAGGAGGGATGAGCTACCGGTCCTAACCCCACCTCTGCTTCCCGCCCTCCAGGGACAGTGTCATCATCAGCATCACTAACTGTGCCACCAGCGTCTATGCTGGCTTTGTCATCTTCTCCATCCTCGGCTTCATGGCCAAGCACCTGGGTGTGGATGTGTCCCGCGTGGCCGACCACGGCCCTGGCCTGGCCTTCGTGGCTTACCCTGAGGCCCTCACACTGCTGCCCATCTCCCCGGTCTGGTCACTGCTCTTCTTCTTCATGCTCATCTTGTTGGGGCTGGGCACTCAGGTAGGAGTGCCCAGCTCAGCTCAGGGCACCCAGCAGGGCTTGGGGAGGGAGGAGGCCGGTCAGAGGTCAGGCCCGGCTCTGACGCCGTGTCCTGCAGTTCTGCCTCCTGGAGACTCTGGTCACGGCCATCGTGGATGAGGTGGGGAATGAGTGGATCCTGCAGAAGAAGACCTACGTGACCTTGGGCGTGGCTGTTGCGGGCTTCCTACTGGGCATCCCCCTCACCAGCCAGGTAAGATCCAGGGAGAGGCTGGCTTGGAGTCTCCGGGGTAGCTGGGGATAACGGGTAGGGGAGCCCCGCCTCAGGCACCCCCAACTCAGCCGCCCGCTGGCCCGTAGGCAGGCATCTACTGGCTCCTGCTGATGGACAACTACGCAGCCAGCTTCTCCTTGGTGGTCATCTCCTGCATCATGTGTGTGTCCATCATGTACATCTACGGTGAGTGCCTGAGCCCCCATGTCCCAGCCCCCAGCCCACCGTCCCTGGCCTGTGGACTCACCAACCTCCCCTGTCTCCAGGGCACCGGAACTACTTCCAGGACATTCAGATGATGCTGGGATTCCCACCGCCCCTCTTCTTCCAGATCTGCTGGCGCTTTGTCTCTCCAGCGATCATCTTCGTGAGTTCCTAGGCGGGCCCCTTCCCCAGCTGCCCTCTACTCAAGTGCCCGTCTCTTGAGGACCAGCAGAGGACAGCAGGCCACCTATCCAGCTGGCCAGGGTTGCCATCCCGCTGCGGAAGGGGAGCGCCGGCTGGCAGCGGCCGACCCTGTCCCTCCCCTCTGGCTTTCCTGCTGGCATCCCCAGCGGGGCCTCAGGAGCTCCTGCCTCAAATCCCTTGCAGCCGGGGTGCTCTGGGTGATTGGGGTACACAATGTGTGGGTGTACCAGAAATAATTTGCAAGTCAGGTATCAAATCGGGATCCTGGGTAACTCTGTAACCCGTCCCTGTATGGGAGTAGGGACAGTATGGGGTGGGGACAGGGAGATCTTGGTTTCCACCAATATTCCATCCCTGGGAAATGTCCATCAGGAAGCTAGTACTGTTAGCACCACAAGTACTGTGGCGCTAACTCCTGCCATGGCCAGGAACTAGGCCTTCCTGCTCACTGTTCATAGGCCAGCTCACATAATAGCTCTCCGAGTATCGCTGCTCTCCCCGCTATACAGAGGAGGAAACTGAGGCACAGAGCTGTTAGGTAACTGGTCCAGAGCTGCACAGCGAATGAGAAGCAGAGCCCCATTCAAAGTAGCTAGTCCAGTCAGCAGGCTGTGTCCAGCTAGAGCTGCAACAGAAGCAGCCATAGGAGGGCGGGATGGTCCACGGGCTAAAGCCCATCCGATTTTGCTGGGCGGCAGGGAAGGTGTGCAAGACCTGTCCCTTGAATAGTGTAATGGTCACACCCCAGAAAAGAGGCAGGGCCATCTCGAGGGGCGGAGGGGCCACTCGCAGCCCAGGAGCAAGGTAGTGTCCAGAGTCACTCCTGTCATGCCCAGCTCCTGTGAGCTACAGGGAGTTCAGCACCGGATTTCCACTTTGGCTCATGTTCCTGAAAAAAAAAAAAGAAAAGAAAAAAGGCCCCTGAGGGCTGAGGCCTGCACCACATGGGGTGTGGGATCTTCCCGAGCCTGGCACGGGCACCGCCTTTGGCCACTGGCCCAGCCTTGGAACAGGAGCAGCGGAAGTCTCCTGTAAGTGGTGGGAGGCCCGAGAGGCAAGGCGCTCTGCCAAGTGCTGTGCCCCCTGGGGGGTGTTGCTGAGCCCCAACTACCCTTCCCTGACCCCCCCCCCCCAGGAATAGTCAGTCTCCACAGCTCCCAGGAGAGACCTGGGCACTAGCCACATAGGGCAAGAGTCAGGAAGGAGCGGGGCAGAGGGGCTGTGGGAGAGCCTCCGCCTGGCCCAGGTCTCTGGGAGCGCTGAGGCGAAGTGGGCAGTTTCCGCTCTACGCGTAGAAAAGCAGGTGGAGTTACTGCAGGTGCCCACTGCAGGCTCTGTGGCCACGGCCTCGAGGCTGCCGTGCTTACTTTGGAGCTTTTCCTTCTTTATATTTCTGAGAAGATCTTGTGACAAACTCCATCCTCCCAGCTCAAGTAAATTTGTCCATATCTGGACCAGGGTCTAATTCCACCCAGGAAAGTTATTCTAAGTGCCTATTTTATGCAGCATCCTAGGAGGGACCCCTGATGGATAGGGGTCTTGTACCCAAAAATCTGGTCCCTGGGGAGGCTGGAGGAGCTGAGCTCTGGCGCAGCTGAGGGATCAAAAGGAAGGTGCCGAGCCCTCCTGGCCCCCCACCCTCACCCGGAGCCCTCCTGGCCCCCCACCCTCACCCGGAGCCCTCCTGGCCCCCCACCCTCACCCGGAGCCCTCCTGGCCCCCCACCCTCACCCGGAGATCCTCCTGGCCCCGGGTGGTGGTCTTTCTCTGCCTCATCCGAGGGGTCAAGTCTTCAGGGAAAGTAAGTATCCCTCCTCGGCAAGGTCTGTGCCTGCCCAGAGATCCA